TCTGCTTTAAAATATACATATATTCTCTCATAAATAAATACATTCTCCGCTTTCAAATACACAAAATACACAATCTTGAACTTGCTCCAACGTATAACCACAGTATAACCAGTAGGGGCACTCGTTCTTTTGTTTCACGTTCGCGCCGATCCGTACTGCGCATCCGACATGTTTTTATAATGACCAATCACAGGATTTTTGTACGTGTGTTAGTGCAAAGTCGGTGTGACATTGAAAAATTCGCAGTGTTGACGAATAACGCGTAAATACTTTTATACGTTGGAGCAAGTAATTACATTAATTACTTTTATTAGAACATTTTTTTCATAGGCCATTTACAATAAATAATGTACGCTAGTTCGTACGCGCCTTTCCTGGATACGATCCTGAAAAGGGCCCAGGCACTTTTAGCCGTTGATACACTGTTGGGGCGATCAAAAACATGGCGGAAAATTGAGAACGCCCAGATCAAAGGTGCCGACAGAGAGTGCCCATACTGGTTATACTGTGGTTATACTGTGCTTTGGGTGCCTGGGTGCACCCGGGTGTAGAATCTGAACGCAGCCTATCGTGGACCGGGCCTAAAGCGTCATTTCCACATCGTGGCAATTTCCATTGTGACGAACCGTGTGGGACGGAGAGTAGACTCGAACGCCTAGTGAGTTTCGCGAGGCCAATGGTTTGCGTGAGTTTTCGCGCTACCTGTTACGAAAGCTCGACGGGCGATACGAGAAGACACGTGTCCCTTGGGCGAATTTCGAGCGTCGGCAGCCGATTTTTCACCGTTCGATCGCGGATGCGCCCGCGTCAACGAGTCGGCCGTGGTCCGGTGCTTGGGGTTCGCGGAAAAGAGGGGCGCGCTCGGGACGTTTTGCGGGACGCGTCACCGAACGCGCTCTCTCGAGTTTACCCGCGCGCGAGCCAAAGGGAAAGCGGGCCGCGAAGCGGCGCGGCGCGGCACGGGGCGGCCATTTTATGTTAGTATGACGTAGAGGCTGGGTGTAGCTTAGCGTTCTTATTGTCGGTCGTGCGCGAGGAAAAAAACTAACGGATCGGTAAGTTCCTGGTAAGTGCCCGGATGTTCGATGATCGCGAACGGTCGGGCGCGAGTGATGTGAGCCCAGTCGGCGCAGCGATCACGCGATTCCCGCGGATAGCCGTGTAACGTGTGACGCGTGGAGGGTAACATTGCTGGACGATAGCCTTAGCGCGCGCGAGAGGGGAGAGCTCGAGCCGCGAGCGACCGAGCCAACTAACGAACGAACGAGCGGTACGGACGGAGCGGCTCCTAGTCCGGTTAGCGGGCGAAAAGTGAAAGTGCGTTCGCCGCGGCGGTGCGTCCGTAGCAGTGCGTGCGAACATGAGCGAGGAAAGCAATCCACGTACGCTGTACGTGGGCAACCTGGACGTCTCGGTGTCCGAGGACCTTCTGTGCGCGCTCTTTTCGCAGATCGGCGCCGTCAAGGGATGCAAGATCATCCGGGAACCCGGCAACGATCCTTACGCTTTCGTCGAGTTCACGAATCACCAATGCGCGGCCACGGCATTGGCCGCCATGAACAAGCGCTCGTTCCTCGACAAGGAGATGAAGGTTAACTGGGCGACCAGCCCGGGCAATCAGCCCAAGCTCGACACCAGTAACCACCATCACATATTCGTCGGCGATCTCTCGCCGGAGATCGAGACGCAGACGCTCAAGGAGGCCTTTGCGCCCTTCGGCGAGATCAGCAACTGCAGGATCGTCCGCGACCCGCAGACGCTCAAGAGCAAGGGCTACGCGTTCGTGTCGTTCGTCAAGAAATCCGAGGCCGAGGCGGCGATCAACGCGATGAATGGCCAATGGCTCGGCTCGCGTAGCATCCGGACCAACTGGTCCACTAGGAAACCGCCACCACCGAGGTCCGAGAGGCCGCGGCATTCCAACAATAGTAAACCCAACTACGAAGAGGTATGTAATCGCGAGACGTCAGATCCGGCCTCTCGGAGTAGCGGAGCTACTCTTGGCCTGCGAACGTAACCGAATGCGTTCGCCCCGCGCCTCACGCAAAACGTTACATTCGTTACATTTTAGACTACGTCGACTACCGTGGAGACTCGGTACGACCTAACGCGTCGACCCGGGACTAGATCAATTTCAACGCTCATTCCTATTGTTCCCCACAGGTTTATAACCAAAGTAGTCCGACCAACTGTACTGTGTACTGCGGAGGTTTTACGAACGGTATCACGGACGAGCTGATAAAGAAAACGTTCTCCCCGTTCGGCACCATCCAAGATATAAGAGTGTTCAAAGACAAGGGCTACGCTTTCATAAAGTTTACAACCAAGGAGGCTGCGACGCACGCTATCGAGTCGACGCATAATACAGAAATCAATGGCAGCATTGTCAAATGCTTTTGGGGAAAGGAGAATGGCGATCCGAATAGTGTCGGCCCCAATGCCAATCATCAGGCTCAACAGGTTAGTCACTTGCGTACTTTGCATCTCTCTCTCTCCCTTTTAAGGCCAATGTCCACGATGCTAGAACTTGGTCCAAGTTCTAGTTTCGAGAAACGTGTAGCCAATCAACTTGCAGCTTTTATGGAATAGTTGCACGTTGATTGGCTACAGATTTCTCGAAACTAGAG